CCCCCCCCCCCCCCCCCACTTTCCCGCATGCCACCCCCACCATACACATCCCCTCCCCACCATACCCCCCCCTCCCCCCTCCCCCATCCCGTCACCCCCACCCCAACAGCATGTACTCATCCTCTTCTCTCTCACCCTTCCACCAACCCTCAACCCCGCCGACTGTCCCGCTCCCCTCCCCCTCCCCCTCCCCCTCCACCCCCGCCCCCGCCCCCCCCCTTCTCCTCCTCCTCCTGCTTCTTCTCCTCATCCGCCTGTTTCACGACCTTTTTCTGACAGACGGTGGTGAGTCGGGAGCGGCGCCCGGAGCGGGCCTCTCTCTGGGAGAGATCCTTAGCAAGGCTGGCAAGCGTGCCATCGGTGGTGGACTTCCCGGTGCGGCGGCTATGGGAGTGCAGGTCATCTCGCTCATGTGGCTGAGGACGGTCATGAATGTGGCTTATGCTCGTGGTGGTGGCTTCTTCCACAACCTCAAGGCTCTCTATGCAGAGGGTGGTATCCGTCGCTTCTATCGTGGCCTCGGCCCGGCTCTGGCTCAGGGTCCGCTCTCGCGGGCTGGTGATACTGCCGCCAACGAGCTGGTCCTCTCGCTCTTTGAGTCGAACGAGACCCTCCATGCTATGCCCATGGCTGTCAAGACGGCTGCGGCTGCCGTGACAGCTGCTGCCTGGCGGATCAACCTCATGCCCATTGATGCTGCCAAGACCACTCTGCAGGTCCAGGGCCGCGATGGCCTCCGTCTCCTGATGAAGAAGGTCCGCGTCTCGGGCTTTGGCGTCCTCTACCACGGCGCCGCCGGTGCGTTCTCGGCCACCTGGGTCGGCTACTACCCGTGGTTCTTTGTCTTCAACACTCTGCAGGAGAAGGTGGCGGTCCCCGACGCCGACGAAGCCTACTACACGGTCAAGAAGCACGGGCGCAACGCGCTCATCGGCTTTGCCGCCTCGGCAACCTCGGATTGCATCTCCAACTCGCTGCGGGTCATCAAGACAACCAAGCAGACCTCGCCGGTGGCCCTCACCTACCCGGACACCGTCCGCCAGATCATCCGCCAGGACGGCGTCTCGGGCCTCTTCCTCCGTGGCCTCTCCACCCGCCTCATTGCCAACGCCATGCAGGGCGCCATGTTCTCGCTCATGTACAAGGCCATCCAGGACCGCTTCTTCAAGAAGGAGTGAAGGACCCCACAAGTAAACCCCGAGCGAGGCACGCGATCTCTACTTGCCGAGCCGAGCCGAGCCAAGCCAAGCCGAGCCGAGAGGCGGCGGGCGGTAAGGTTGGCTCCTCAAGCTCGCGTTAGCTGGGGCTCTTGGCGACGGCAGCGAGGATGCGATCGTAGGCGGCGAGATCAAAGCGGACGAGACAAAAGGCCGAGAGCTCGTCGATGAACCGGGTGGCTTTGGCGGTGCCGAGAAGAGGGGCGAGGAGGTCGATTGCCGCAACCGGCTGGGAGAGCGGGACCGAGTCGAGGACGGCCTCGACTGCGCCAAGCACGACGTCGACCTCGTCCTGGCTCCGCGTCGGGCCAAGGACCGCGGCTACCTCTCGAGCCACAAACGGGCGTCGTCTCAGCGACTCTGCACGGCTTGGCGTTGTCGAACTTTCCAGCCTGGATGTGTCCCGCGAGGCAAGGAGGGCGTCGACTCGCGGATGGCGGGCAGTACCGGGGCGATACATGGCGGCACGGCGGGCGTGGTCAGGAGTCCATGGCAGACGATCAGAGCTAAGCTTAGCCTCGAGCGGATCAAGTCGGAGAGTGGCGTAGTCGGACGATGAGACGATGTCGTGGATGATGGAGGTGAACGGGGTCTTGCAGAGCGGACAAGTCCGAGAGACTTCCGCCCATTGGGCGAGACACACGAGACAGAAGCCGTGGAAGCAGCCATCGGCTAGCGCAAGCGCCTCGGGTTGCTCACTCAGACAGATCGCACATCGCTCTCCTGCCGGCACGTAGCCATCGTCGGCAGACATGAAGCAGTCGACGAGACGAGTGGTGCGGCCGTGTGTTGTCATCGATGACCGTCCGGATTGGCATCGGTTGGCAGGCACCGGGTCCACGATGGGCTCGGAGCTCCTACCTGAGCGGCTCTTCTCGACTCGCCTTTGGTACACTCAAGTCTGCCTCTACCAGTCGGGCACAACTCTGGGATTCGACGGCATGTGTTGTTGGTGGTGGTGATGGTGGAGGGGGTGGGGATCGAGGTGTGCGGTCAGTACGCAGAGGCGGGGAGGAAACACTTGGCTTTCCGCGTTGCCCGACGGAATTTTCAGCGATTTTGTTGCGACTCAAATCGACGAGCTGCGGGGGACTATGCTGCGCAAGACTGGGCTGAGTGAGGGCGGGGAGAGCGAGCGGGGAGGCTGGAAGAGGGGGGAAGAGTCCAAGTACCACCGGCGAGCAGGACATGATGCCGTGTGTGGTTGTGGCTGTCTGTACCTCGGCGTCTCGACCGGACTCCCTACTCGACGAGCGAGCGAGTCGGGCGCGTCGTTTACGGCTCGGGCACTGGCGAGGTTGTGCGGGATCGGGCTGGTGATGGTGGTGATGGCGTGGGTGATGGCGCCTGTGGCACTTCGGTATGCGCCATGCTTGCGGCGCGACTGTCTGGTGGCCGAGCTCAAGGCGCAAGTGCCTCTGAACTGGTCGCCGATCCTGCTGGCACGGGACGGGACGAGCCAGGGCAGCGCGCCAGTGGCGGCGCCAACGAGCGGAAGCACGTGGGCGTATGTGTGCGTGGCGACGGGCAACGCGCACGCACGCGGGTGTGCGGTCGTACTGCGGTCGATCGCGCGGACCGGGACGCCACACGTCCTGCACGCGCTGCTTGGCCCCGGCGAGTCTGTGGGCAAGGCCGAGATCGAGGCGCTGCACGCGCTTGGTGCGGTGACGTCCAAGATGGAGCGGACGCTGCAAGTCCGTTCCGAGAGCCACTGGTCGACGCTGTCAGCGTCCAAGTTTGGGGTGTGGCGGCTGGAGCAGTACGACAAGATCCTGTTTGTCGACGCCGACGTGGTCGTCCTCAAGCCGCTCGACTCGCTGTTCGATCTTGTAGACAAGCCTGGGATGATTGCTGCACCACAGGATCCTGTCTACCTGGTAACCGGGCCACCGGCGCTGGTCACCTCGCTCTTTGTGGCGGTCCCGTCAGTGGCGACGTACGAGGAGCTTGTCGAGACGATGGTCAACGACCCGGCGTACAAGACCAACAGCATGTCGGACTCACGGGTGGCGCGGAGTGTGTTCAGCGGGAGCAAGTGGGTCGAGATCCCACCGCAGTACCACATGTCGTCGTGGATGTTTGAGGTCCGGCACATTCCGGCCCAGCGGCTGCTCAACGCCGCGCACTCGATCCACTACTCGGGCGGGAACAAGCCGCTGTACTCGGGCGTCTTTGGCGGCGTCTCGTCGTGCACCTCGTCGGGGCGATTCCTGTGGCCACTGTGGGCGGCCATGCGCGCCGATGCGGTCCACCCGCGGACAAAAGTGGACCCGCTGGTTGTTGCTGGGTAAACAGAGCTAGTTCCATACCAGCGCCAGCGCCGAGCCGACCACAAAGCCACATACGCTGCCAACGGCCGGCGGAATGGGCCAGGCCTGCCACGGGCGATCCCAGTCGAGCGGAAGAGCGGCGGCGGAGAGCCAGGCACCCACCACAGCGCCCCAGGCCATACCGGCGATGAGGCGCTCATCGCGGGCACCCGAACCTCGAGCGAGAACCACAGTATGGATCCAACGTATCACGGCTGGGCGACCACAGAGAGCGCCAAAGGGACCTGCAACAAGAACAGCGAGAACAAGAGCAAGAGCCAGAGTATCGTTGGACGATGGCGCACCGAGAGTGATCAGAACAAGCATAACAAACGGAGAGACAAAGATCGGGAGCAGAGCGCCAGAAGTCGTGGCAATCAGACGTGAAACGGCACCAGGCGAAGGCGATGGCCGCCAAATGAGCGGAAGTGCCGTAGCGGTCGCGACAGCCGAGACAAAGAGACGGACAGACGGCGGAGTTGTCGGCTGGCAGAGGAGCTGCGGAAGGACAAGAAAGGCAGCAAGAACAAGGGCTGCAGACACAATGCTAGCACCACCACCTCGCATACTTGGTTCGATTGGCGTCGAGTGCTCTGAGGACTCTTCGCCTCGCCGTCTTGGCCTTGGCCGCAACTTGCGCCCTCTCCACCGATTTGAGCAAGCGCTCACCACCCGCGCCGCCCTTCCACCGCCGCTGACTGACCGGCGGACGATGCGACGGAGCGCAAAGGCGCTCAGGCCAGCTGGTAGTTAGCGTGGATGACGAGAGGAAACGATGTCAAGTGCGTGGTGATGGGTGGGCGATGGGCTGTCATCAGCGCCTTGCCGCGGCTGGCTTGTGCATAGCATACAGAGCATACCACCCCGCGCCCATACACCGATCAACATCTACATGGGTCTGATCGAGGCATGAGATGTGATCAATGTAGTTCCGGGCCTGGTTGCCAGCATCCTTGCTGCGGCTGGCTTGTGTACGGCAGACAGGAGCATGCCATCCCACGCGATGGCCAGCCCATACACCGATCAACATCTACAGAAGCACACAATCGGATGCGATGACCCATCCTGTGACAGAATATGCAACTTCCCTCGTATCCCCTCCGAGGGGGGGGGGAGGGGGAGGCGAGCAGCTACTCGACTCTGGTTCGGCGGCTCTACGATGACGTACACCCGCGAGGCACTCGAAGCCAAGCTGGATGCCCTGACGAACACAGCAGAGTCCATCCAAGGTACGAACCACCCACTTCCTCCTTGACCTATATATACACACACACATACACATATACCACATCCATGTATCCACTTCACCTACACCTTCTCCATACCCAACGTGTACTCACCCAAAACAACCTCGACCTGGCTCTTCCCTTTGACTCGCCACTACCGTGTGCGACTCGGCCATGGGTATGCTCATGGGCGTGCTCACTACCACTTGCTACTACTGGCATGCTGGTTGCTTATGGGTGTGTGTGTGTGTGTGTGTGGTCATGATGTGGTCCCTTGTACTGCTGCTAATGAATGGCTCGACTGCACGGTCGCTACCCGCCGCCCCGTCCTTCACCTCGTCGACATCATTGTCCCCTCGTCCTCGTCCTTCGCCTTCTCTTCATGCTTCCTCTCATCACCCTCCTCGCGGCGTTCTCATGGCTCACGCATGGTTGCTGGGCTTGGACTATGATCATGTTGTGGTGTTGACTAACCCGCTCTCTTTCTGTCGCGATCGATACGGCTGCCGATGGGGTTGGGGACGCGGATAACACAGGGCTCTCACGATGGATCCTGTTCAACTCAAAGTCGATTGACGACATCGTCGAAGTGTGGCAGACCAAGTTTACTACCGCACCCACAGACGCGCAGCTGCTGTATCTGTATGTGGCCAACGATGTGATCCAGAACGGCAAGCGCGACCACCCCGAGGTGCTGCTCGCGTTTGGCAAGCCTCTGCCAAAGGTGGTGGCCCAGCTGTGCAAGGACGGAAACAAGCGAATGCAAGGCAGGGTCGAGCGCATCGTTGACATCTGGTTCGAGCGGCGGATGTACGACAAGCGCTTCTGCGACCATCTCAGGTCGATGGCTGGGATCGAGGTCAAGACCAGCAGTGCTGAGCCCAAGGCTGCCACCAGCTCGGCCAAGTCCAGCTCTGGCCCCGCAATGTCTGATACTGACAAGAAACTCCTCGGTCTGCCGATTGTGGCGGCCATGCGCGACGTGACAGCCGCCGAGACCGAGCGGGCGTCGTCGGCAGCCAAGGTCGAGACCATCGACTATGACACGGTCATCTCCAGCGGCTCCGCGCCGGCCATCAACACCGCGCGCGCCATGCTGGAGGCGTACGAGCGGCAGCTGCTCACGGTGCTCGAGGGCCATCAAGTGGTTGTGGCTCAGGCCCAGCAGGTGCTCGACTCGCACGCCTCAGCGGCCGCTGACCTTGCTATCCAGGTCGACGGTGTCCGCGACCTCATCGCACGGCTGAGCGGGACACAATGAACGGAACAGGGAAATGAAGGGCAAGTCTACGTGTCTGTTGGGTTGTGTGTTGATGATGCTGTCGAGACTGCTGCTGCGGCTACGATCCGTAGCGCTGGAACTCCCATGCTGTGTTGTCGAGCGGGCAGACCTGGCGGGTCTGCAGCCACCGGCCTGTACAAATGAATGACCGCGTGCAGTGAGTATGTTCGCCAGGAAAGATAGGGCAGGGAGAGGGAAGGGGAGGCGGTGATGAACGTACTGATGCTGTGGGGATTATGACGCGAGGGAGAGAAAGAGAGAGATAGAGAGAGAGAATGTGAGTACCGACATCGGGAGAGAGGGAGGGGGGAGGGGGGAGGGGGAGACACAATGAAGCGACGGCCTTCAGATCTCGTTGCTATGCGTACCACTATGTGCCAAGTCGAGGAGATAGATAGAGAGAGACTGCGTGAGTATGCGAGGAGGAGGGAGGGGGAGGAGGGAGGGGGAGGAGGGAGGGGGAGGAGGGAAAGGGGACACGGGCAGATCTGTACGTACATGGAAATGGAAGGGGTGGTTGCAGATACCCCAGGCCTATATACACCCACACCCAGTAACCACGTGAGTTCCCTCCCCATCACCCACCCACCTCCAGCCACTGTCCGCCGCCGAACCAGCGCATGCAGCAAACATCTTGACGATCTGCTTGTACAGAACACACACCATTGCCATCTCCATGGCCATTGTCATCTCCATGGCCATTGTCATCTCCATGGCCATTGTCATCTCCATGGCCATTGCCATGGCTATACCCCACTGTCTCACCGGGTTCACACGCAGGTGATGCCGATGACGACACAGAACGTACCACTGTGCACTCATCACTGGTAGCAGAGGCCTCATTTGCCTGACACTCGATGCCTGTGTTTGTGAACAACAGATGTGTGTCGTATGATGAGTCATGATGAGTGGCATAGGGACAGGTAGGGGGGGGGGGCAGGGGCTGTGAGAGGGAGAGGGAGAAGAGGAGGCGGGGCGGGACGAGAGGGAGGGGGGGGAAGGGGGAGGGGGAGGAACACCCTCAGGTAAAGACCTCTGTACGTACACAGCTCCATGATGTGGTTACGGCAGATAGCACAGTTATCGACCTTCATGTCTACATCATCATCATATACTTTGTTAGTCACAAACTTGATTGTATCTCTCACAATGGCCATGCATATACCCCCCCCCCCTCCCTCCCCACCTCCCCAGGTACCTTCCTTGTCATTCACCATTTTCCTTTGGGTC